TCTTCTTCTCCCCTATGGGTTCTATAGCCTTAGATAGCAAGTGGTCTACCGCAGAAAGAAATGGCAACCTACTGTGGGAAAAAAATCTGCCTCGTCAGTCATGTATCGAAAAAAGATACATGATCGCCTAAGCGTATATGACGCATGGCACATAACTGACTGAAGTCACCACTGTTGAAAATGTATTTTTTATTAAATTTTTGATTTTTTTTTCCTTCATTATTGTCTCGATGAAACTACGGAATAATGAATTTGATTAAATTTCATGAAAAGTTAAAACAAAAAAAAAAAAAAACAAAAGGAAAGGAAAACAGTATTTTCGCAAACTGTTGTTTTGAGTTCCGGAAGGTCAGGGTAACGTAATTGTTACTTCCAGAGAAATAGGTTCGGTTAATAAAGTTCAAATTCCTGTTGATTTTCACTTCATTCTTATGTCTTTTGGCAGAGGAACGAATCTATATAGCGACGCTCTGTCCTATTGCAAGGAATTGCGTAAGATAATATGGATTGCATGCAGTTTTAAAAGTATACGAAATAATATCAATAATAATTCCGGATACGTTCGCAAATAACACTCATTATAGAATTTCCGTCATTGGTCATTTATAGGAAAAGACAAGTGAGGAAGCTGACGACTCTTTACAGGCCTCCATTGTGTTAGGAATTTAGTTATTGGTATACCATGATAATTGACAAAGAAGGGAGTAAATGAGTGAATGCTTGGACCAGTCAGATTTCCATATCGACCCCGAGGCAAAAGTAATACAAAAAAACCCCAAAAAAACCAACTGTTACACTCATTGTCAACTAGACATTGAGTCCTTTCTTGACAGGGTGCTTCAAAAACGTGCCTTTGTTCTGTGATTCCGGTTAATTAACCCACATTGACCTGTAACTACTAGAAGTGGTAAACTGATGCGTACAAAAGTGCCAGAGTTGGAGGTTTTCAACAAACAATACTTTGTCGTCCATTTTTGCCAACAAAGCTGACACTTGATAAAAGTACAACACTGTCCATTTGGTCTTCTTGGAGGAGAAATTCTCTTGTTATTGTTTTTTTCTTTGTTTGTTGTTTATTGGGTTATGAAGTGCGATCATGAGAGATCACGAATAGCATTCAAAAAATCCATCCATTTTACTCAGTGTACAAAAATTCCGCTGGTTGTATTGTGTGAAGGAAGTGCGTAAGATATCTCGATTGTTCGTTCACTGTAGCCCGTTTGAAAAGTAAACTAAATAATAATATTAATAATAATTTTGAACGCATTCGCAAATTACGCTCAATATAGAATTTCCACCATTGTTCTTTTACGGGAAAAGACAATCGAGGAAGCAGACGACAACTTAAAGGCTTCCATTGTGTCAGAGATTTGATTGTTTTCCTCCATTCTGCTGCTGTCATTGATTTATGCCAACGAAAAAGAACGGACAGCGATCTGCGAGAAAAAATTCTAGTGGCGTCGTCGTGTCTATAGTTTCAGTTACACTATGTTCAGGAACATCCACCTTAGACAAAGTCGGTGTCACTGAGTTGATCCTGACGTTACAGTGACCTTTGCTATTTTAATTACGCACGTTCTTTGGCGTTATTGTTGTGAATATTTGATCAAATTAAGCTTTGAAACAATTTGGTCATCATTGTTTTGTGTATAATTTATATCATATAAATATCGAAACGCGTGCAAGGGCATAAAATGGCTTAGAATTCAAACAATGTATCGAATTATATCTCAGTATGTTCATATCTATCTATCTATCTATCTATCTATCTATCTATCTATCTATCTCAGTATGTTCATATCTATCTATCTATCTATCTATCTTCCGATGTAAGCATGCGGACTGAAAAATCTGAACGTCAACGAAAAAGTTTACTAATTCTTTAAAAAATATTAAGCATGTATTTTTATCTTTATCATTTGGCATCGATATGTAACAGAACATTTGAATTTTCCGCTACATATATGTATGTATGTATGTATGTATGTATGTATTCTTCTATTTTTTATACTTCCAAAGAAGATGAAAATATGCCCCAAACTTGAAAAGAATGTTTTATCGTAAAAATATTTATGTTGTTTTATTACTTAGAATATGCTCCTAAATTTTTAAGATTACTGCGTATTAAAAAAAAAAATATGCAAAAAAAATGTCGTTCATGTTGTATCCGTCAAGTAATTATTACATTATTTATACCACTTCGAAAAAATTTCCAAACATAAATCTATCGATGGAGTTGTCAGCACCTCATAAAAATACCTACCTTTATATTTAAAAAAATACCTTTCTGCGATATTTTAAACTAAAAGTAAGTAATATTTGTTTAAAATTATATTAATTAAATTTTAAACTAGCTAATCTTCTTAAAATAAACTTTCAGAAATGTAAATTTTATTTTTGAAAGATTTTTTTTAATGAAGAGAATTACATTGTGCTGATAGATTTATAAATATAACTAAAACTGCCTAAGATCAGCGAATATAATAATTTAAAAACTTCATTCCAATCTAGATTCGTTTGAAATACAGCAAAGCATTTTGATTATTGGAAATATTATATTTAATCTATCAGCTTGAAATTAAAATTAATATAAAATTTTCAATAATTTAGTAATTCGATTATCCGGAATTTTGAATAATCCGAATATATTTATCAACCCTTGTCCGAATAATTGAGTAAATAGTAAATAACCAATGAGACATATTTGAAAATACCAGTGTTTCTGTCTTTTTGTGTGCTTTCTCTCAATCTCTGACGAAGCTTTAATGAAAGTGAAACATGTTAGATTGATGCACGTTTCCTATTTGTTCTTTATTCTATCATCCTGTCTTCCGACAGGATGATAAAATACAATAATTCTCTGCATTTACCCTGATGTTATCATCAACTTTGACCTCTAAACTTTTTACAGAAATAACCCAAAACTTTACTCCATGAAGGACTTAAACCCTCGTCTAGTCACCAGGTTCAGCCAATGTAGTTCTACTGTCATCTGTTTTTCTGTTACACGTTTCTCTTCAAGGTTGTTGTTTGTTTGCTTTCATGTTTTTAGCCAATAATATTCTGCATATTTTCTTTATGTTTTCATTCGCAACACCAACTTTTTTGGCTCTAATAAATTAACTTTTCTTGCTTATTACCCTTTTAATATTTTTTTCAATCTCTTTTCACCTAACACAGCAAGTGTGCTACAAAACCCAAATATTAACTGCAAAACTCGTGTCATGTTCTTAAATAGGCTCGTAAGATCGAAACTTTCATATAGGTGTCATGCATAGTGCCAAACTTGTCAAGAAATATCTAAACTGTCAGCTGTATGCAACCACGATTAAAAATATCTAAACTGTCAGCTGTAGGCAACCACGATTAAAAATATCTAAACTGTCAGCTGTAGGCAACCACGATTAAAAATATCTAAACTGTCAGCTGTAGGCAACCGCTTTCTCAGATCAACAATTAAAAAGGAAGCTTCGAAGGAATGAAACCTGACGTTACTAAGAAAGCTATTTTCCCGAAAAATTGTTTTAAAAGCAAGATTTTATAAATTTCGACTGAAATTACCATTGTCTTCTCGGCTAATGAATGATGAATATTTCCTTATAAGGAAACGGCTAATATTACCGTTACCAGTAAATTTAGTTTTCTTTCTTATTCTTATCTTGTCGATATTTTCGTCTGCATTTTTTCTTCTTCAATGATCTCTATTCAATATTGTGTTGTCGTCAATAAATATTAATATTAATAAATATTGTGTTCTCGTTAATAAATATTAATATTAATAAATATTGTGCTGTCGTTAATAAATATAAATATTAATATTAATAAATATTAATAAATATTGTGTTCTCGTTAATAAATATTAATATTAATAAATATTGTGCTGTCGTTAATAAATATAAATATTAATATTAATAAATATTAATAAATATTGTATTCTCGTTAATAAATATTAATATTAATAAATATTGTGCTGTCGTTAATAAATATAAATATTAATATTAATAAATATTGATAAATATTGTATTCTCGTTAATAAATAACTTTACAAACCTCGTTATTTCTTTTAAGTTTATATTTTCTTACGAGCTATGACAATCATTATATATCTGAAACTGAAAAGTAAATCCCAATAACTTTACAATTATTAGGTTGGTGCAAAAATAATGACGTAATAATGTCGTTTTTTGACGTATTTTTTAACGTCAAAAAACGACATTATTACGTCATTATTTTTGCACCAACCTAATATATATATTTATTTAAAACATTATGAACAAACCTGAACTGCGTAATAAAGTCGCACACCACGAAATAATTGCAAATATTTCTAATAAAAAAAATAGATATTACATCGTACAGGGGGTTTATAAATCCCGTGTTCAATTTGAAAAAATACTTTAAATAGTTTTTTTTTGGGTGGGGGGACTATACATGATATAACGATTACTTACTTTATTTATATCCGGACTATTGTTCTCATCACCTTTGTTGTTATCACAGCGTTGTACCCTCCTGCCTCCCCCCCCCCCAGTGACTGTTAAGTTTAAGTTTACTTTAGCAAATTGTCCCACGGAGCCAATGGTTTATGAATATGATGTCATAGTGGTTGTGATTTTAAACTCTGGGTCGAGCAGTGTGTACTTTCATTGGTTGGAAACGGGAGGGCAATAACTGAGCAGTATTAAATAAAAATAAGAACTAAATGAGATTACCGTAAACACGAGCAGTGGAACGAGAACAGTCTAGCCCCGTAGGTTGGATAATGGGTTCAGTTCGGAATTCCCTGTAGGTTACCCAGATCGATATACACCCGAGTCATATCTTAACCAAGCTTATATTTTATTTTTTTAGCATATTTTTGGTTATCTTCCTATCAAAACTATATTTTGCATTTATACACCAACATCATACTAATTTATAATAACCTTAAACTATGACTCTACAAGTTGGATTTGGTCGAGATCTGTTGTGAGATCCCTACAACATGGACTCTTCCAGGACTATATAAAGTATGCGATATAATACTCTCGGAGAAAGAGAGAGAAAGAGAGAGAGAGAGAAAGAGAGTGAAAGAGAGTGAAAGAGAGAGAAAGAGAGAGAGAAAGAGAGAGAGAGGAAGAGAGAGAGAAAGAGAGAAAGAAAGAGAGAAAGAAATCGAGAGAGAAAGAAAGAGAGAAAGAGAGAAAGAAAGAGAGAAAGAGAGAAAGAAAGTGAGAAAAAGAGAAAGAGTAAGAGAGTATTCTAATACCATAGTATCAGCCGCGTACGACTACCAATATTGGACACTAGCACATAGTAAGCTCCGCTTACACTTACACTATCTTTGTAACCTTTTTGTTTAATATATCTTTCTTACCTCTAATCCGTGTTCCGTGTTTTCCTTCCGTGGTCCCAACTTTGGGCCCACATCAAGATCAAAACAAGCAAATAAAATGCGCGCAACATCACGACCTAACATGCGCAAGTGAAATATTTGCGCGGTCATCTATGATGATTTTTACGAGCGCGTCAATAACGGCAAACGCGTTCAGGAAACTTTCATTACGGATAGAAGCTGTGGTGAATGGGTAAATTGTAATGAGTGAATGGGTCGTGAATCGGATTAGCTAGGTATAAGTTAGTGTGGACCAGCCTTAACCCCTCCCCTTTTTCGGCCTTGTGCCACAATTATGTAATTTTTACATAATAAATATCTAGAAGCTGCAAAGAAGAACAAACGTTTTATTTATTTCATTACAAGAATTTACAAAAAGAAACGATCAATTAGCTTATCTTCATACCCTGCCTGGTGGCCAACGCTGCTGATGGCGCCAGGGATGGCGGTTCCGCCATAGCCACCGAAGCCGTGATATCACCCGTGGTCGGCGGCTGATGAAGACAGGGTATCGCACGTGCTAACACACGTTGTATGTTAAAATAAATAAATATATAAATATAATGCAGCGTTGCTCCTATGAGACTCAATTGTATTGAACAGTTCATAACTCTCACTACTTGAAAATCTGAGTCGTACTTCAAACGTAGGTATATGTGTAATTTTTAATATTATATATATATATATATATATATATATATGCATTTATTTCCTGTTTTAATAATGATAATTAAAATTTTACTCAATCATAGTTAGAATTATATACCTATAAAAAAGTATTGAATTTGCTTACTTTCACAAAGTTAATTGAAATTACTGCGAAAAGAATAAAACATGCATCAGCTGCATACAAATATAAAAGAAGATATTGTCCCTGTTAGAAAGTTGTTACTAAGATTCAGCAAAATATGATGCTATGATTTGCTGATTGTCAGAACCAAAGACTTAAGCGCATCGATCATTATCTCTGTGAGATAAGAGAGTCAAAAGAATTAGTACAATTATGAAATTATTTGTATTCCTCGGTTAATATATTTCTACCTTTGTATTTCGTTTTGCGGTATCATTTCGTTGTTCTGGATTTTATTAAGCAACAAAGATGAGGACAATAGTCCAAATATAAATAGTGTAAATTATGATAATTCCACATCCGAGAAATTCAGCCAAAAAATGTTTTTTTTTTTGTTTGTTTTTTTTTTTAAAGGATTAGCACGATCAGCCAAGCATGTTTTAAAACCGGGGAAAATTTGTCAGTAAAATATTAAGCAAATTGTAGAAATATTTTTTACTTGAGGCAATTGTTTTTTTTAAAGCATTTTACCCCAAGCAAGGCGAGAGTGCCACTAGCACGCAAGGTGTTACAGAGAGTGGAGGCAAGAGTAAAGAGACGTGATAGTGGAAAGGATAAAGAGGAGGACGGGGAATTAGATCAAGACATCAGAAGATGTTGATTAACATTTGAATAATTAAAGATTATAGCTATCAGGGAAGCAAGTAAGAGGAAGGGAGGTCCACAGACGGGAAGTGCGAGACATGAAGCTATTGCAGTAGAAGAGACGGCTGCATTTAACCTTATCGACAGTGAAAGGGTGGGACTGAGATGCCAACCTAGTAGCACGCTTAAATTCATGTAGTTTGGAAACCAGCGAAAATAGCTTGTCGGAGCAGTTACCGTGAAAGTACTTGTAGAAAAGACAGAGGGAAGCGACGGCACGTCTGTGAGAAAGTAATTGTAGGCGAGATGACAGGACCAATCACATTGCATATCCATCTCTGGATATTGTTGACAACCTTGAGACAAACAGCAGGGACTTCAGACCATATATGGCAGCAGTATTCCATGCAATGGTTGATTTATAGATTTAAAAGATGGACTCAGGCGAGAAAAACTTTCTGGCGCGACATATAGAACCAACTTTCCTTGCAGTAAATGAAGCTATTGATTCAATGTATTTGTTTCATCTCGGGTCAACGGACAGTATGAGACCAAGCAGGCGCAGAGAGGCGCTCTTGTGGAGTTGAGCATGAGACATTGTGCACACAGAAAAGTACATGCATATAAAATTTAATTTCTGTCTAGCAACAACCCTTCTTTAACGGGAAAAGGATATAATCCGGCCCTTTGAAGTCATCACATACACGCTTAGGCGATCATATATTTTTCGATACATGACTGACGAGGCAGATTTTTTCTCATAGTATGTTGCCATTTCTTTCTGCGGTAGTCCAGTTGCTATCCAAGGCTATATACTCGGTCTGACCTGCTGTCCTGGGGGTTTAGAAGAAGAGGATTCAGACCTTTCCCAAGTGTATTAGCACGTAAGTGAATGTAATGGATTCGACTGGAATTCGAACTCGGCTCTCCGATGATGATAACGATTAAAACCGCTTTTGTGGCTGAAAGTGCAATACTGAAGATTATAATGATGATGATGATGATGATTAAGATTATTATTATTAATATTAAAAACCGCTTTTATGCGGCAAAATGTGCAATTCTAAATACTGAAGATGATGATGAAGATAATGATGATGATTAAAAAACGCTTGTTTTTGGCAGGATGTACAACTCTGAATACTGATGATGATGACGACGATTAAAACATCTTTTTATAGCATAAAGTGCAATACTGATGATGATGATGATGATGATTAAAACCTCTTTTTTGTGGCAGAAAGTGCCATGCAGAAGATGATGATCATGATGATCATGATGAATATGATGATGATGATGATGATGATGATGATTAAAACCTTTTTGTGGCAGAAAGTGCAATGCAGAAGATGATGATGATGATGATGATCATGATGATGATGATGAATATGATCATGATGATGATGATGATTAAAACCTTTTTGTGGCAGAAAGTGCAATGCAGAAGATGATGATGATAATGATGATGATGATGACGGTGATGATGATTAAAAACCGCTTTTTTAACAGAATGGGCAACTCTCAATACCGAAGAGTTTCAGTCACTGTGCGTTTTATGGAGAGGTGCATCGCCACGAGTGGCCCAAATTGCAGGGAGTTGGGTGTTTTTATCGAATCAATACCTCTAGTACGGTTACCAACGAGGGATACGGAACATATTTCATCCTGCCATTTAGCTCATAGCCGGGGGATAAATTCATACCTTTCCCAGCAACATTTACACGTAAGTGAATGGCACTAATTCGACCGGAATTCGAACTCGGTCCTCCTATTTCTCATTCCGAGCATCTATCAATTGCATCACACGTACATCAATAGGCATCGAATATCTACATCTCAATGTCACGTTTTTGGTGTTCTTTTCTCCCACCCTATAATAATAATAATAATAATAATAATATTAATAATAATAATAATAATATTAATAATAATAATAAATGCACTGATGCTACACAAGGCATAGCTCTCATGGTTTCTGCTCTTAACTGAGTGGAGATGTTATCATGTACATGTTTTGTTTTGGTGTATTAAGATGGACTACAGTAAACATCCCGTTCAGTAAGTACCACATATTTGTGCACTGGCCAACGGGGGACGCTGCTCATCAAGGGTAGCCGTATTTCGCGCACGCTGTTCAAATTTCCTGAACTTTCAGATAAAACCTCCCATGAAAAGAAAAGAAAATATAATTGAAAAAAACCTGGGCCTGCAATGAAGGAGAGAACCTAGAAATATAAGAAAGAAAAAAAATAAAGGAGATGAAATGAAGAAAAGAAAAAAAAAGAAGAAAAACCGAATAAAAAGAAAATATTGCGTACTGCTCACAAAGGGTAGTGACAAAAACATCTGTACTATTTCAGTCACGCCACTCAAAACATGATTCAAATTTAGCTACTTCGGACGTCATAGAAAATAGGTCACATGACGTATCATCTAATTTGTTAAAATACTCTATACTTTATAATTTTCGCGATTTTTCAAGCGTAACTTAGTTGTGACACAGGGGCGAAAATATAGTGCATTCAGTGAGGATCGAACTCACTTTTCAGTCGTAAATGCCCTAGCGAGACAAGCTTGCTAACCATTACATCGTCTCCCCGGAGCATTTTTATAATCCCTACAAAATTTTAAGAAAGAAAATCTCTTTTCTCTGTCAACAGTAGGCACGTCCCGATAACGGCAATGTCAGAGAGTCCAAATCAGGCCAACTTCATCAAACAGTAAGTTATTCCTACTACCATTCAATATACCTAGACAGAGGAGTTTTCCCATCTATATTTTCACTACGAGCTTCTTATATGAAGAATTCTACTTTAATTTCACTAACTATTCACTGACGGTGAATGTATATATGTGTTAATTTCTGTCATGGTTATAAAATATGCTTGTTGAATCTAGTCTGTCTTTTTACATTATTTAAATCTTGTTCATTAAGTGTCTTAGTTCCTTCGAAAAATCAACTTACATTCAATTCGTGTGCACTGTTTTGTGTAACGCATCATATAATACCAGAAGAAAGCAGAATTCAAAAAAATATATTTCGCACAATGACGGAGATAAAGGAGAGAGAGAGAGAGAGAGGTGGGGGGAGGAGAAAAACGTACAAAGAAAGAAAGAATATGAAAGAAGAAAGAAGATGAGAAATGAAAGGAAAAATAAAAAAGGAATAGAAATGAAAGACTGACAAAAATAAAAATGTGTTGGAATGAAAAAGAAAAAAAACTGATAGCAATGAAAAGTGAGGGAGAAGAAAGAAAGAAAGAAAGAAAGAAAGAAAGAAAGAAATGATGCAAGGAAAAAGGGGATTAAAGGAGAAAATAATTTAAAAGCTGGAAGGATTACAAAAATAAAAATGTAGGGGAACAAAAAGAGAAAAATGCTAACGACAAAAGAGAAAGAGAGAGAGAGGGAGAAGAAAGAAAGAAAGAAAGAAAGAAAGAAAGAAGACTGAAATGAGTCGAGGGAAAGGGGGGAATGAAAGGGGAAAATAATTTAAAAGCTGGAAGGATTGACAAAAATAAAAATGTGAGGGAATAAAAAGAGAAAAATGCTAACGACAGGAGGGAAAGAGTGTGAGAGAGAAGGAAAGAAAGAAAAACAGAAAGGAAGAAGGGAAAAGAATGAATTAGATATAAAAAATGAAGATAAGAACGAGAAAGAGAGAGAGAGAGAGAGAGAGAGAAGAGAGAAAAAGAAAGAAAAAGAAAATAGAGCCGGGCAAAAGGAGCAATAAGAGGAGAAAGTAATTTACAAAAATGAATGGCTGACAAAAAGTAAAATGTGGAGGAATAAAAGTGTAAAACGATGAAGAAAAAAAAGAGAGAGAGAGAGAGAGAGCGAGAGAGAGTGATTGAGTGAGAGAGAAGGAAGAGAAACGGAAAACAAGAAAGGAAAAGAGAAAAGAAAAAAAGAAGAAAGGATATCATAAAATTCCCGCGCTAAAAGACAGAAAAAAAAAAAAAAAGAAATTAAAGAAAAGAAAGAAAAATCTGTTAAGAAAGAAATTTAAAAAAGAAGGAAAAACGAAAAAAAAAAATGAAGGAAGGAATGAGGAATATTCGCTCGCTCTATTAGCTTGACGTCTGCACCGAATGTGTTGGGTCGATTACACTCATTTGAACGTGAAACGATATTTAAGAAGTCTTCGTCTCATGTCTCATTTGTTTGTTCTGACACAAACGAATAATGGTCAACTCGAGTGACACTCCACCCAGCATGACAATGCTATATGTTGCAAGAAATATAAAGACAATGGAAACTGAAAAAGAGAAAAACGGTGAAAAGCCCAGCAGAGAGAAAAGAACAATAAAAGAAAAAAAGGAAATGAAGAGGGGAAAACGAAGAAAAATAAAAAGATACAAATCACCAAAAAGTCAAGAGTTACATCCCTTAGAAGTGTACACGTTGAAATGTGTTAGTCTTTGCCATGAAGCTGCTAATGTTTCCTTTGTTTCTCTTGTCGGGACAGATAAGGTCAAACGCACAAAGTAATCTGAGTTTGCGGCATGATATATGGATTTGTTTTCGCTAAGAGGCACCCATACGAAAAAAAAAAAGTCAATTATGTAAAATACGTGCACAGGACGTGTTAAATTCGGATTTAAAATTCAAGAAAATAATATTGTTCTATTCTAACAGTCGGCAATTACGCCTGATTTGTCGACTAGATTTACATGCGACAATGTCATAGGCGTCATTCTTTATGTGCCGTGTCATCCTAGGACGTAGCTGATCATGGCTCTCCACAATTTCCTGTTCTTTGTAGCTCTTAATAAATTTTGTCTTGTTATCACTTCTAAACACTATCTATATACTCAAGCTCCGCTAAGCATGTTATGCAGTGTTTTCCCTTGTTCCTGTCGCCTTTAATCTGTCTTATGAGTATCATATTTTCAAGCCCTGTTTCCTCATTATATGCCATATAAATGTCAACTGTCTATCTGAGGTTATGTATGTTTCCGTTTTGCTTACATTCATTCTAAAACTTCGTCGTTGCTTACGTGTTCGGCAAGGGCGACTATGTTGAAAAATAGACCTCATTTGGTCACATTCCATGAGAGTATCTTGGTCAGCCGATAAACCTTTCAGCTGAGCCTCGTAGATAGAAACACTGAAATAGATAGATAGATAGATAGATAGATAGATAGATAGATAGATAGATAGATAGATAGATAGATATAAAAATGAAAGGAAAACTGAGTAAAGGGGGCAGGTCAGTGCTCCGGTACACAAGTTTGGTTGCGATGTGCGTGACTGCGGTTTTGAACTGCTTGATCACACCCTTATTATTCCGACTTGGCTCCATCTGACTATCATCTGTCCCCCTACATGAAAAAAGAAGATCTGTCTTGGAAACAGTATCGCAGTGATGATGACGTCATATCTACTGTTGATGAACTTTTTGAGCAACAGGATGAAAGTTTTTTCACCAATGGGATCCAAGCACTGCAACACCATTGGAAGAAGTGTGTGAACAACAAAGAAGACTTTGGTGAAAAATAACTCTTATTTGGTCACATTCCAAGAGAGTATCTTGGTCAGTGTTATGGTCCAGGTTAGGACCAAGGAAGAACAACACGTACACAAGAGTAGAAATAACGAAGTTATATTACACGAAATAATAATACAAGATGTGGAAGATGTTAGTATAACTGTCAGTCTGGTTTGGAGTGAACTACTATCGGCTCGACTCGATTCGGTATCTATCCCCCGCCACGAGGGTTGCATGTGGCACAAGGCCGAGTTTACCGTGGGTTTCCCGAGCCCGTAAGCTTGGCCAAAAAATGGCCGTAGAACCAGTATAAATGGGATCTGGTTGGTCAACCTCCCCGAACGAGACTCTGCCCTTCGTCGGAGGCTTGTCCGAGTTCCTCTCTGCTCAGAGACAGAGAGTTCGACCGTCAAGCCGAGAAGCTCGGTTTTATTCGGCCCTCTATCTTGAGAAGCGGGTTATACATTGTTGTTCATGATGACGGTCGTCTTTGAGTATAGAATCCAGAGGTTAACAGTGAATATTTTGAAGACAGTAGGGAAGCGTTGTTCAGGTTAACAGTGGATATCCCGGTAAAGTAGCAGAGCGTACTTCTTCCTTCTGTTCCTCTTCGCCTGACAAGCTGGTACTGGACATTCGGACAGAGTAAACAAAATGGCCGTCTTTATACACGATGGATTGAATATTCTACATCATCTGATTGGTTAACCTTCTATTGGTGGACTATAAAGTGAGTCAAGTCATTTGGGCTAACTCATTAGTACATAGATTCCCCAAAAACTGCAACATACATAGTGTTAGGAAGAGTTCATTCTGTAGTTATAGGTAAGGCAATAACTAATGGATGCAGTTTTACGTCCTACCCAGGACTAATAAGGACCTAAGAGGGACTTAATGGATGCAGTTTTACGTCTTGCCCAGGACTAATAAGAACCTTATAAGTCAGTACCAAATATGGCAGAAGTGAAAGCCCGTAATTTCAATTTCGTAATTGGCTTTGTAAATAAATCCGCCATATTATTTTCCGATTGAACGTATTCAATTTGTACTGTTTTCTTTTGTACTTGATCCCTAACAAATTGATATTTAATATCGATATGCTTTGATCTTTGATGTATTATTGGATTTCTAGCCAAAGCAATACTGGCCTGATTGTCGCAGTAAATAATTATTGGCTCACTTATTACCAGTGTTGTAATTGTTTTTATTAGTAATTTAAGAAAAATAGCCTCTTGTGTTGCTTGTGACAATGCAATGTACTCCGCTTCACAAGTAGAAAGCGAAATCATTCCCTGTTTCTTAGATTTCCAGCTGATTAACGGATTACCGTCTGCTAGCTTAAAGCAATAGCCTGTTATACTTTTACGATCTGGTGAGTTTGCCCAATCAGCATCACAAAATCCTTCCAATTTTAATGGTTTATCTGGTTGTCGAAATACTAGGCACCGATTCTTAGTTCCCTTTAGGTAACGTAATACTTGCTTAGCTCTTGTTAAAGGCACAGTCCCCGGTTTATTTAAGTTTTAGGACAATTTAGTAACCGTATAGCAGATATTTGGCCTGGTTGATGTCATCACGTAAATAAGATTTCCAACCAAGGTTCTGTATTCTTTCTCACACGCCGCTATACCATCTTCATTATTCATAATTGTGTTAAAATCCATTTCACATGGAATAGTTCGTGTTTTACAATTTTGCATGCTGAATTTAGATAAGAGCCTTTCGGTGTATCTAGATTGATTCAATGTAATAGTGTTGCCTTTAAATTCGAACTGTATACCAAGAAACCATGATAGTCGACCCAAGTCGGTCATTTTAAACCTTATTTCTAGGGAATTTTTGATTTTTAATAGAGCGGCTTCACACTTTGATGCAATAACATATCGTCGACCCAAATAACCAGAATTACTAATATTTCATTATTAAATGTTCTCGTGTACTGAAATGGGTCAACTTGAGAGGATTCAAATTGTTGTTCAATTAAATAAGAATGGATTAATTTATTCCATGTTCTTCCGCTCTGTTTGAGTCCATATAGTGACTTTTTAAGTTTCCATACATAATTATCACCTTCTTCAAAACCTGGCAGGTCTATGTATATTTCATAGTCGATGGCAGCATTCAAATAAGCTGCTTTCACTTCCATATGGTGTATATCCATACCATAATGTGCGGCCATTTGCATCAAAATTCTAATTGTTGTCATGTTTGTTGTTGGACTGAATGTTTCTACATAATCTTCCCCGTATATCTGCGAAAATCCTTTAGCTACAAAACGAGCCTTATACACTGGCGATCCATCCTCAGTTCGCTTTACCGTATAAACCCAACGACTGCCGATAATATTTTTATCATCCGGGACATTTTTCAATTCGAAAATGTCGTTTGATACTAAAGATTTAATTTCTTTTTTCATGGCAGCTATCCAGCGTTTGGAATTGACAGAATGTATGGCTTCTTGATAGTTCTTTGGGATACATTGTACCGAATAGCAACAGTCAGTGTCATAGATATTACATTGACCCATTCCAAAATGGCTTTCTTCTATTTCTGGTCGGATAACGCGGAATTTGTCCCCCCTCATCAGTTGTATTTTCTTTTAACTCATGTTTTGCGTCTGATTTTTCCTCATCTACATCATCTGGTATAACACCTTCCTCTGATTGTGGATTTTGAACGGGTTTTCTACTTATAGGCACATAATTAGGCCATACTAGTTCGTGCTGGACCAGCTCCTCGCAGTTAATATTCTTTTTTTCGGGTTCCTCCCCTGGCTCAAAGGAATCTGTAAATCTGACGCATCTGATCTTCCCTATCAAACTAAAATGTTTGTGGGAAATAAATCATATAGGCTGGACTTGTCTTGTCATACCCAATAAATATGCTCCTTTCACTTTTTGGATCTAGCTTTGCCCTGTGGTCGACATATATATAGCAAATTGTACCAAAAATATGCATATCACTCACATTGGGTTTGAAGTTCGTATAAGCTTCGTAAGGAGACTTTTTAATGTCACTATTATAGCAATGGTTTCTTATATATACGGCTGTATTTAATGCATAAACCCACAGATTTTTGGGTAACTTAGATTCTATTAACGAACATCTAGCCATTTCAAAAAGCGTCCTCCAACTGCGTTCGGCAACTCCGTTCTGGTGTGGAGAATAAGAACAAGTTTTCTCATGTTTAATGCCTTCATTTATTAGGAGGTTTTCGTAAGCATCAGAAGTAAATTCTCCACCATTATCTGTCCTAATTATTTTTACTTTTCCATACGGGGAGATATCGGATAAATAGATTTTTGTAGCTTGCAGGGTATCAGATTTGTTTTTCAGAAAATATATCATAATAGGTCCTGAATATTCGTCAACAAAGTTTAATACATATGAATAGGTGTCTATACCCATTGGGGAAATTGGACCCGCTAAGTCGCAATAAACTCTGAACAAGATATCTGTTGATTTTGGGATCTGACCCCGATTTCTATATTTCGTCATTTTCCCTTTAATACACGTGTCACAATATTGTAAGCCATTTGGAAATGTAATTTTCATTCCAGTGACGTGTTCTTGTAATCTTTTAACATCCAAATTATTACAGTGGCCTAATATTTTATGCCAAGTCCTTAAGTCGTGCGTGTCTGTCTTCGCAGACTTAATACTTTTCAAATAATACAAACGTCCATTTAGCTGTATATTAAATTCAGTTCCGTCTGGATATATTAACTTTGAATTTCCTCGGTGAAAATTGACTTTAACACCAGTTTTAACTGCAGGCTGAACCGAAAAAATATTTTGTTTAAATTTAGGAATATATAAAGCCCTTTTTAATAAACATTTACAAATATTTCCTTTAGTATCTTGTAAATAAATACAGGCATCGTCTCTTTTTAAAACTAAATTATTAGCTCTGGTCCCGTCAGCTAACTCGATAAAATGCGAGTCGGGCTCAAAATTAATAAATTTTGTTTCATCTGTAATTACATGATTTGTCGCACCCGTATCGGCTAGGTAAGAATTATAACTATTGGCTACAGTATCCAATCCAAACGAAAAGGCATATGTTTGCCCATTCGAAAAAGTTTTTACATTTTTACAAAAATCATTCCGTGTATAAAATTGACATTTTGCACGGACATGGCCGACTTTACCACAACGAAAACAAACGATATTGCTGTTAGTGTTGTTATTTCTGTTACAGTTCTTGTAATAATTGTTTTTAAGTCCCTTGTTTTTAATATCATAATTCCTAGTCTGATAGGTTTGAGGGACTGGTTTTCTGAATTTTTTAAATGACGTTCTCAGTTGCATTACGTTATTGCCTTGATTTTTTTTTTTGGAGGGGGTACACATTTTTTCAGTTTCTTCACAGCTACGTAACGCCATTTTAAACTCAGTGAAAGTTAATTGTTTATCTTTTTGGGTTATAACTGTCGTGAATTGTTTGAATGTCGGTGGTAAACCCTTCAAGACCATGGCTATTAGCAGCCCATCTGAGATAGTCTCACCTGCAATTTTTAAGACATTTGTGACATTCTCAGCTTGTATAATATAATCTGTTACAGATTCATTTTCTCGTCTCTTTAACGCGGTTAGTTCAGTATATAAAGCAATAATTAAGTAGTGTTCACGCAAAATTTGTAGAGCTCGCCGTCCATTGTCCTTGGCCTCTCTCATTATCAAAGACAAACTCCTGTCATCCAG